CCCAGCCAGCACAGGCAGGGAAATCTGTGGCAGCTCCTGTGCTGCCTGCACCTCCCCCTGCTCCCTACCTGGGGCTCAATGTCCAAAATAGCGACTTTGTCCTGCTGGTGGATCTTGTGCACTGTTTCAAACTTGGTGCCAAACATATTTCCTTGGTAGCTTCCAAACTCCAGGAACTCGTTGGCTGAGATGTCCCGGGTCATCTCCTCAGTGGAGACAAAGTAGTAGTCTTTCCCATCCACCTCATTCTTCTTCTGGGGACGTGTGGTATCTGGGGAGGGAAGCAAATGATGTAAGTGCTGGCCCCCAGAAGGACTGGGCAACAAAACACAGCAGGCAGCCTCTGCTGAGTGACCTGGGTGTCCTGCCTTCCCTTTTTGAGCGTGGAGCTAGGGCATGGAGGACCCATGTACCTCAAGACTGGGATGTACTAATCCCCTTTCAACTCCTTCCTGCTTTGGGCAAGTAGGGAACTGAGCCACCCCAAGGAGAGCCACTGGGATGTGAAGAGTGAGACCCTGCTGCCACCATGTGCAGGTCCAGCTGGTCCGAGGGCAGGCAGGGAGGCCCTGCAGTGCCCTGTGTGGTGGCCCCTGATTTGGCAGCACTAGAGAAACATCTCCCTGCCTCCATTCTGCTGTCAGAAGGTCCTGGCTCAAGGAGGTCAGAGGGGAAAAAAAACAAACCAACCCTGTGCTGTGCCCTCCACCTGGCTGTGTACTTACATGGGGGTGGGTACATGAACTTCTCTGGGTTGTTGCTGAGCAGAGCGTTCTTGATGTGGCTACGGCCCACGCCGCTGGCCCCTGCGGAGAAGGAGGGATGGATGCTGGAGCCAGGCTCAGAGAAGCTTGACAGGAGATGCTGGGGCACCTCTGCAGCTCTGGGTCTGAGGAAAGGTGCAGAGCTCCTGGGGCCTTGCCCAGTATCTTGTTTTTTGAGCTGGTCTGTGGCACCTTCCAGCCCTGGAAGAGGCTCTCCCTGCCCTGGGCATACTCACCTCCAGCCCCAGCTCCAGCTGGAGATGGGACCAGGGCCCACTGAGTAGCCAGCATGGCTGGGCTGTGTGGGTTGTCCATGCCCACAGGGTCCACTAACAAATACTTAGCATCCACAGTATGGGAGCAGTTGCTTTGGTGCAGCTGTACAGACCACAGCTGCTTTAAAAAAAATACAATCTATAAAGAGAACTAGGAGCTGGAAACTTCTAAATTAACTCTGCCTCAGCACCACAGTGCAGGTGCCAGACCATGCACAAAGCCACATGTGTGGTGACTGCTGCAGGCAGAACAAATGCTCCCCAGAGCTTACCAGGTTTTGAAGGGCAGTGCTTCCCCAGCCCCTGTCCAGTCCTGGTTTCCCCTGGGACCCACCACACACAGCCCCTGCACTGTGGAAGATGTCTGGGGCAGGACCTACCAATGAGCACCAGAGTCTTCCTCTTGAAGGCTGGCAGCCTCACCACCTCCTCATATGAAACCACATCCAGCTGGTCAAAAACTGAGGCAGAGCAGAAACAAGACAGTGAGTGGTCAGAGCTGGCCTGGCTGCAGCAGCAGGACAGTGTGCAGGTCAGACCAAAGCCAGGTCCTTGGCCAAAATGGAGGGAGCAATAAGGACTGGGCTGGGAGCTCATCTGTGTTTGGCTGCTGGGGGAAAAGGGCAGAAACCTCAGCAGCATGTGAGGTGCAGGGGGGTGCTGGGGAGCTGGGCCAGCAGCCACTGAAGGAGAAGCCAGGGCTGCTCCTGCTCGGTAATTCTACTCAGGACAGTTAGGACATGAGAGCTGGGTGGAGAGGAGGCAGGACACTGCAGGGACCTTGTTGCTGGGGCAGCTTTAGCTTGGCTGATTTACAGCCTTGTTTGTGGCTGGTTGGAGCTGCAGGCTGGGCGAGAAGCCAGCATGTCCTCAGGCACCCACCTCTGCCAGCCCAGGGCATGCTTAGCACAGGGTGTTTACACGAGCAGCTGAGGGGCAGGCTGAGCACCTGTGGGGAGCAGTTCAGGCTGCTCCCCAACTGCTGAGCAGCAGCAAGGCCACCACCTGCTTTGTGGCCAGCAGCCTGTGGGGTTTGAGGGCCTGGGAGCCCAACCTCCCAAGGAGCTTGAGGCCAGAAGTGCCAGGGATTTTCCTCACATGAGAGCACAGGAGCTCAGTGCCTGGCTCTCATGGGAGTCAGCTCCAGCCTCGTGCACTACAGAGCTGCATGAAGGCTCAGCTGTGACCACCTGAGGAGTATGAGAACTTTGGAGAAGGGACTCAAAAAAACTGACAGCTGTGGGGTATCCTCCTGAGGTGCCACTGACAACACAGCTGGGCTGTTTGGTCTGACTCCCATGGAGGACAGACCCTTCCCTGCTCAGCAGCAGGGGTGATAATCGAGGCTGGAGATGGAGCCCATTGCCCTGCTCACACTTACTTGAGCTGTGCTTGGCCAGGTATTTATCTTTGCACTTCTTCTTCTTCCCAAAGGGGCTACAGCTCGGGGACTCGCTCTGGCTGGATGACTGGGTGACACTGGCCACACGCCTGCCAAGAGAGGAGGACACCACCCATGCTCCAGCTGTCACCCCAAGTCCTGGGGGAGCAGTGGGATTGTCCCTCAGACATGCAAGGGCAAGAGGAGCAGGGTGGCTGCTGGGACAGTTACAGGCTCACCCTGTGACAGATGAAGGGAACATTTGCCTCCTTTTCCCATTCTAGGATAGCACATGCTCATTGTTCCCACCTCCACTCCCAGATCCAGCCCTTCTGGCCAAATCCAGGAACCTACCACTCCTGCAGCTCTGGAGAAGGGATGAGTCCTGCTGACTCAGTGCAGGAACCCTCCACCCGTCCCTGCCACCAGTTGCTGTCATCCTTGTTTATGATTTGAATCACATCACCAGTCTGAAACTTCAGCCCAGCTTCCTTGCAGGGGATCAGGTTGTCTTTTTTGGGGTCGTAGTCAAACTGCGCCCTCATGAACATCTGCAAAAGAGTGGGTAGAGTCAGCATGGCCATGCAGGGTGGTCGAACTTGGTTGTGTCCAGCTCCTGGCCCCACACTGCATCTCCTGGCAGTGACTGCAGAGCCGGCTCCAGGTACAAGGTCCCTCATCCAGGAGGGATCCCAGCCTCTGCTGCTTTCCAGGCCCCAGGAGGCTGGGTGGGGAGAAAGAAGATGCACATGGCCCTGAGAGAAACTTCTGGGCATGGACCTGTGTTGGATTGTGCTGGGGGGTGAGGGAAGGAGGAGGACAGCATCTTGAGTCTATCAAGAGCCAGTGAAGTGGCCAGGGACGGGGCATCTACCACCTCTCTGGGGAACCTGTTTCAGTGTTTCACCACCCTCATTTTATTATTATCTCACAGTCACAGTGTTTGGGGTTGAATGGGACCTCTGAAGATCATCTAGTCCAACTAGATGCAGACCTAGTCCTGCTAGAGCAGGATCACCTACAGTAGATAACACAGAAACACATCCACATGGGTGCTGAACGTCTCCAGAGGAGACTCCACAACCTCTCTGGGCAGCCTGTTCCAATAAAGTTGTTCCTTATGTTTAACTTGAACCTCCTATGCTTCAGCTTGTGCCCACTGCCCCTTGTCCCTGGCCCCATCCCCTCCTGACACCCCTTTCAGATATTTATAAGCCTTGATAAGATCCCCCCTCAGTCTCCCCTAGGCTAGACAGCCCCAGCTCTCCCAGCCTTTCCTCATAGGGCAGATGCTCCATTCCTCTAATCTTTCTGGCCCAGGCCACCATCCTCCCTGGGTAGGGTAGACTATGCTGTCCTTGTTCCACATCAAAACAATTTCCCACAGTATGTCCTTCAGCAGTGCTGCTGGAGGCTCAGGGCCAGCAGGACATAGACAGGGTTCCCTTTCACTGCCAGAAAAGCAGAGCATATGGATCAAGCTGTGGTGTGAAATCTCTCACAATGGAAGGCAACACAAGTGGAATCTCCTTTCAGGATCAGGACTGATGCTTGCTTTGCAAGAACTCTTTGGCACCAGGAAGCTGTCTGTCAACCCAAACACACAAGGGACACACAGCAAGCACTGCCCAGGTACCTCCCTGGAGCCTTCTCCTTCCGCCACCCTGGAACACCAAGCCAGACACAACCAAGTCACTTCTTGGAAAGACCCTCCCTTACGCCAATTAGGAATTGGCATCAGACAGGTCCACACATCACCCACAGAATGCAAAGGGCCAGCCCCAACTCCAAGCCTGCCCCTCTCTGAGGCAGGACACCCAGGAACAGAGCAGGCTTCAGCATGAGAAGCCTTGATCTTTAAAGTCAGAAGCCCACTCCTGGCAGTGGACTGCAACAAGCTGAGACACAGGCAGCCTGTCAGCTGTGCTTCTGAGCAGCAGACAGCACCATGGCCCAGGACACAGCAAGAGGGAAAACAACTGTTGCTGGGAAGTTTTTCCCTATGACTTTCCCTGAGCCCACAGCCTACCTTAGGTGAGCCAGCAACTGTTCTTTCTCCCCTGGCAATGCTAGCCTGGCTGCCTGAAGCTGGCTGGGTCATGCCAAGGAGCGCAGATGGACAGCAGGGGAGGACAGACATGGGCCAGTCAGGGTATAATAAACAAACATGCAAGGCTGATTCAGCTGGAATGGGGACAGCATGGGCTGAGCAAGAAACAGAGACAGTGTTCACCACGTTCAGAGACTTCAGCTTCTCTGGGTAAGGAAGGAGGGTGACATGGGCTGCCCCAGCCCATCCCAGCCCCATCCAGTTCCCACTCTCTGTCTCTGAGCTCCTCTGCCACTCCTGCCTATGATGGGGAGGCCCTGCTGGGGTTGGCTCCTGCAACTGAAGACAAGACAGCATCCCAGCCACCACCCACTGATGTCCTGGCAGAGGAGCCTGCACAGCTCTCTCCCCAGCACAGGTCCCCCATGGTTTGCTCAGGTTCCACACAGCCCCCAGCCATGCCCTGGCACAGCCCAGGAGCTGGGGGCTGCACACTTACCTGGAGAGCAGGGAAGCGGCTCTGTTGGTTGGGAATTACTTTTATTGAGACCGTCCCCTTGGTTTCTTTCTAGTAAACAAAGAAAGGGGAGAAAGAAGAGTTGGAGGAAGCGGTGCCTGGAGGCAGCCTAACAGCAGCAACCTCTGCAGGGAGCTGCTGAGGGACACCAGAGCCTGACCAGAAAAGCTTGGCTGGGGCTGAGCCAAGAGGCACATCAGCAAAGCTTTGCCACGTTTACCCCATCACCATGGGGACACACCAACACTCCCTAAAGGGGCAGACTGTGGGCACTGCCCAGCATCACCAGAAAGAGCATGAAGACCTGTAATATCTCCAGCCTGGCTGCCCCAGTAAGGAGCCTGAGAAGAGAGGCTGGTTCTGACAGGTCTCCTCACTTCTGCCCTCCTGGTGACATCAAAGGCCCAGCACTGCCTTGCCTGCCCCAAGCCAGATGAACTGGTGCCCCACCTGCTTCACAAGACCTCCTGCTTAGGCTTCTGCTGGGTGTCCTCAGAACCACCACCACCACCTCCCTCTGGCCATGTCCCATATACTGGGAAAGAATCAGGATAGTCTGATCCAAGGCAGGACTGAGATCCTGTCCAAAGCTGTCCCTGCCAAGGGCCTGGCAGGATCAACATGTAGTAGGAAAATAGCAAAAAAAGGTGACCTGCAGGACCAGCTCAGGTCTGCAAGAGCAGCCAGCTCCTGGGCTGGAGTTGCACATCAGCCTTAGCTAGCAGAGTAGTTTCCAAGCCCCACAAACATCAGTACATGTCAGAGACTCAGCCAACAGCCTTTGCTGCTGATCTTGGGAGGCCAGAAAAAAGCAGCAAGCACAGGCCACCAAGGCTGCACACAGACCAAAGCCCTAGGCTGTACCACAGCACCCTGGCACAGTGGCCCCAGCTCCTGCTGTGCCACGCTGCTGCAGGCAGCTGTGTGCTGGCTCTGGTGCCTGGGAGGGGGTGAATCCTCAGCCAGCAGGCACCCTGCAGGCCAAAGGGGTGTCCTTCCTAGGGAACAACCCTGCCAAACACAGATACCTACCAGCATCTTCTGCAGCTGGTCAACTGAGTGGTTGCTCACACTCTGGCCATTGATTTCTATGATTTCATCACCCACGTGAAGGGACCCTGAAACACGAAAATGCAGGACTGGACAAGAGCCACTCACCAAACCTCAACTACACAGTTCCACCAGCCTCCTGACCCATTGGGCAAGCTGTGGCCAGGACATCATGGTGTTTGCCTGGGCAATGCTTGTGGAGCCATACAAGTCACCTCAGCACATGGGACTAAACGACAAGGGAAACAACTTCTTCCCCCTCCACCCAACACACACCCACTTCCTCCAGTTTGAAGGCCATCAGGTTGCTTTCCACTGTGTGTCCTTCAGCACTTTGGACTGGTCAAAGCACCTGTTTCAGAGCTATTCAAACCAAACCCCAAGTACCTCCCCAAAGCCTCCTTATAGGGTCATCAACACAAGCATTCTTGACTTTGAGCTTTTTTAGTTTATACACCAGCCAGATGATGGCCTCAGACACACTGCTATAAATCAGACACCAGCAACATTATTGGAATGGCTCCTGGATTATACTGGCAGGGGTAAGTTCAGACTTGGATTCACGGCTGGAAAAGAAGCCTCTTCTTCGAAGCACAGAACATCTAATTTCCAAGCACCCTTGGCAAACCCCAAAACCAGAACAGAACATCTTAGTATTTGTTTTGGCACACAGAGCCAATAACAGCAAGCCTGCCCCACCTGTGCACTTAGGAATGGGAAGAGCTTCTCCTGCAGTCTCTGGGGCATGATCCATCTCTCATTACCGTGATCCCATCACGAGATGGAGACAGGTGGTCTCCAGCTCCTTTTCTGAGAGAGCCCTTCCCCCAACCCTTAATTTCTCCCTAAAGCCTCCAGTGTATTAACATGACAACCATGCAGAGAGACCAGCAAGTCCCAAGTTCCCGACATATTCCTAGTGGAGCAACAGATACATGACATGTCCATGTCACAGAGGAAAGCCAGCAGTGCTGGAGAGCTGCACAGAAGGAACCCAGCTAGAGATGTGCACCCCATACACTGCCTCTATGAGGGCCTCGTTACCTTGTCTGTGAATCATGCCCCCATGGAAGATCCTGGCCACCATGCAGCTCTGCTTGTCATTGAGCTTCAGTGTGATTCCCTGGAAGAAAGGAAAATCCATGACTGCTTGCTGGAGGGGAGGAGCTCCTGTGCCCTCAGAAAAATCCTCTCCTGGCCCATATCCACAATGGGCTGCACAGTGTCTGGGGGGAAGCCCCTGCTTGGCCAGCCCAGCCTGCTGCAGCTCCTCTGTGGTGCTCACAAGCACCACTGCCCTTTGGTGGGGCTCACTCTGGGTCCCCAGGCAGGATCCAGCACCCTCTTCTGGGGCCATACCCAGTGAGGCCAGCCCGTGGGCATGGATCTACCTGCCCCTCCAGCCCCGGGGTGCCACCAGGCTTTAGGGTCTTGCCAGCTCTCACCATGGGCTCCTCCGTGACCTTCTCAAACTGGACGAGGCGTATCTTCCGCACCTCGCGGCCGTTGCTGTGGGAAGGGCTGCCCAGGGTTGCTGAGCCGTTGGTATAAATGTCCTCAGTCATGGCGTTCTGGGACTGAGTGACAGCCTGTCAGGGCAAAACAAAGACTGGGGTTTAGGGGCCTGGGCCTGCCAGCTCCCTGCTGCGGGGCTGAGCCGCTCCACCGTGTCAGGGCGCCTGGGGCACAGGAGGAGGAGAGATCCGTGTGCTGGGGGAGAGGACAGTAAGGAAGGAAAAAGAGCACAAGAGCTTCACCCTCAAAGATGACAGAAATCATAGAATACGAGGTTGGAAGGGACCTCAAGGATCATCTGGGCCAACCTTTCTGGGCAAAAGCATGGCCTCAACAAGACGGCCCAGCACCCTGCCCAGCTGATGATGTGCCTGTGGCTTTGATCTGCAGTTATCTAGCCCAGGAAACACAGGAAGTAAGAAAACTTCAGAAAAGCTACAGGTAGCAGAAGCCAAAGAGTCCACAGTTGGTAATCTTCTGCAGCAACAGGTCCCACACACTACTTTGTGTCATGGCACAAAGCAAAACCCAGGCCAGCTCTGATCTCCAGCCCCTGCCCACCTTGTCACCACGCTCAAATCCCCACGCCAGCCTGCGAGGCAGAGCAGACCCTCCTGGCTGCCCCACTCCACACCAGGCTGCAGACTGCCCCCCCCCTGCTGGGAGCCACAGCCAGCAAACCTGCAGGGAAGCCCAGCAAGGTCCTCACCAGCTCCAGTCCCAAGCAGTGACGTTGCACACCATGTCCAGCCTGGCAGAGCCAACACCTCCCCTTGCTGCCTGCCAACCTGCCAATACCCAACTGTTGGCACCAGGCCCCAGGGCTCCATGCCAGGGGCTGGGGAAGCAGCAGCCTGACCCTGCTGCCCTGGGTTGCTCTCAGTGCACCCAGCCCAGAGCAGAGGGGAGGCTGCAACCCCTCTCAGCCCAGGGGTGAGATCTGGCCAGGCTGTGGGGAGGTTTGTGCAGGTTCAGCATTTGCTAGTAGGGCACAGTCACGGCACTAAACCACAACAAGATGAGCTTTGGGAGGGACGTGCCAGAGTGAGACAGCAGCCTGTGCAATGGCCAGAAGCAGAGAGGGAGCCAAAGGCAGGGGCAGCAGAGCCAGAGGTAGCCAGAGCAGCAGGAGAGGTGCTGGCAGAGAGACAGAGCAGCACGGAGGAGTGGGCTCTGTCACAGCCCTGGTGAAAGGGTGCTGGAGGGGGCAGGAAGGGCACAGGAACCCTTGTGTCCCTGCTGCTGCAAGAGGAAAGATGCACGATTTATTTTTAAGCCAACTACTTGTAAAAGAGCCAACCAACCACCTCCTCAGAGGAAAAAGGTGATTTAAGCTGCCAACAGCTTAAATACAGAGGAGGAGGATGAATCCCAGACCAGAGCAGCACCCGGGCCAAGGACTCCCAGGGTGGAAGGAAGAGCGACTTGCAGTCCCCCAGCCTGGCTTGCCAGCCCCAGCAGGGCACACTGCTACCCTGCAGGTCACCACAGGGCAGAGGGACAGATCCAGCAGTGTGGATGCCTGGAGCCAGCCCTCAGCTCTCTGCCAGCTGTCCTGGCTCTACCAAACCAGTGAGTAGGAGGAGGACAAGGAATTTCACCAGCCCTGCCAGAGGCCAAAGTGCCTGTGAGGTGGTTTGAGTCAGCAGAGATCACAATTATCTTGATCATGCCTTGGGAAAGCATTACACCATGCAATTCCTAGCTCCAAACCTCTGGGCTCAGCAGAGCCTGATGAACCAGGACACAGCAATTTGCCCCCAGGACTGGGAGTTCCTGCCCCCCGCCGTTCCCAGCATCCCCATCAGCTGAGCCTCCCGGCCCTGACCTTTGCTTTTTGCTGAGAGCTGGAGAAAACACACAGCCCTCAACGCTGACTCAGCACCAGTGTCACCCTGGTGACTCCCAGAGAGCAAGACTTATCACCAGAGACTTCCTGCTGTGCCTGGGGATGGCCACCAGTCTCTTGATGGCACCTCTGAACCCAGCAGGCTCCTCCAGCAACTCACTCTGTCCCAGAGCCAGGCTGGGATGGTGTGGGCTTTTGCTGACCACACGGGGCAGCTGGTGGATGGGGAAATACCCAGTTCACGAGGAGGACCAGGGCTCAGAGAGTGGCAGATCCCAGCCCCAGTGCTGGGCAGCCAGAAGCCAGAACCAGAGGCCACGCGCAGCTCCCACACACCGCGCACAGGCTGGCCAGCTGGATCACTTACCCTGCACTCTCCTGGCAGCCACCAAACACACTCTTGGCCAGCTCAGCCTGGCATAGTGTGTGACCTCAAGAGCCTTTCAAGCTGTGCTGGCCGTGAGCCAAACCCTGCTAATTACACGCTGAGCAGGAAACATCTGCAAGTGCTGCTACAAGCCGGCTCCGCGGCCACCAGAAACTGCCAGTTCTGCACAAGCTTGGTCACGGCTAGGGACAGTCTCAGGACAGGCATGGGGCAAGGAGGCTGGGGGGCTGAACTGTGCCCTAGCTCCGTGGGTGCCTTGTAGCACAAACCCTGCTCCAGGTGGCAACACGCAGAGGAGCCCCCAGCTCCATGGGCCAAAGAGGTGCACCCCAGCTCCCTGCCTGCATTTTCCTCAGGAGTCTGGACTTCTGCTCTGGATCCCAGGGTGGAGGAAAGGGCACCAGCTCCCCGGGCAGTGTTTGCCAACAGGGAACTTGGTGAGTGTGGAGCAATCCTCTGCAAGGACCACAGGGCTTGATGCTCTGTTCCCTGGCAGGGTCAGTCATCTGCCAGGGTTGCTCCTGCTGCTGCACTGGCTCAGCCAGGCTGCACACCACACACCACCAGGCAAATCAAACATTAACTGGGCAGCTTGTTTGCAGGAGCCTGAAGCAGCACTTGGGGAAAGGAGCACTGTAGTGCAAAGGGCACATTCAGTGGTTTGGCTCCTGGGCTCTCCTTGCTGCTCCAACCAAGAGCTTTCAGTATCAGGTGGCCTTGGAACAGCAGGGCTCCCTGACGTGCACATGGGAAAAGGTCAGACATTGCTGGCTTTGCCAAGCAGGCCCCCAGAGTAGCGCAGCCTGGATGCAGGAGGGAACCCTGGAGCCAGGATCCCCCAGGATGGCCCAGCTGGCAGGGAGAAATGCTCTGCTGCTCACAGTGAGCAACAAAACCCCAGCTCCCTCCAGAAACCTTCACCCCTCACATTACCATCACTGCAGGTGTGTGCAGGGAGGCTGGGGCACTGTTTGGTGCAGAGATGTCCTGGCCCAGCAACCTCTCCTCCCACTCTCTAGTGCTGCAACCTCAGCTCCTCACTGCACAGCACGTGTGTGCATCAGGGGCTCAGTACAGCTTAGAAAAACACAGCAATGTGTAAAAAGAGCAAACTAGTCAGCACAACCATGGAAGCAACCTCATCTAAGACCCCTTCCAGCAATACAATCCAAGTTTGTTTGTTTGTTTTAAAAAAAAGAAACATTTAAGCCAAACGCAATCCAAGTTTGTTTGTTTGTTTTAAAAAAAGAAACATTTAAGCCAAACAGGATTACATTGCTGACACTGGGAGAAGGCACAGTAAAATCAACAGGTCATAGTGGGAAGGGGAACAGAGAAATAGCAGGGATACAAGCAGTTGTGGAGGCCAAAAGATGCTATTAGCTACGCATGTCCTTGCTCTGACTCCAGATCATGGAGTGCTTGCAATGGAGAAGGGCCAGATTTTCAAAGGAGCACAGTCAGTTTTGCTGAGGCACCATCTTCTCACCAGAAAAGGCTGAGGCAGCCTTCCAGATGTGTTTGTGAAACTAGTCACCTCCAAGAGAGGATCAGTAAAACTGTAACACTGACAGAAGAGAACTTGAGGAACTGCCCAGTTGCTCCATTCCCACCTTCCAGAACAAATCCTGCAAAATGGCTTCTCCCCTGCAGCTGTTACAGCCTGGAACATGGCAAAATGCACTTGAGATTAGAAAGTTGGGATCAAGCCTCCTTGCTTCACTCTGGTCAAGCCCAGCAGTTTTGCTTGCCTTTCAACCACTAGTTTTGCCAGTGGTCATTTCAGGATTTGGACCCTGGGGACTGTGGCCTCAGTCTGCTCTGGAGCTGGCACTGTATGGATGCTGGGAACCACTGCACAATGTTCCCTCTGCATCCTCAGGCTCAGCTCTCTCCAGATGCACCCTCATTTTCTCCACTGGACTCCCAAAGGTCACATTAGCTGCCCATATTACAGCTGAGGTACTGAGTCATGGCCGATAAGAGGACATGCCCAAGGTCACCCTGCCATCCAGGTGAAGAGCTGGGAATAGAGGCCACACCTCTTTGGTAAATCTGCATTTGCAGTTGGGAGATAAGGAAAAGACAGGCTCAAGGGAAGAGGGCAAGAAGCTTCCTCCCAGCAATGACACGTGGCTTCCACTCCGAGGGTTTGTGTCCTGCCCCCACAGAAGGAAACCAGGACAGCACTTCCCAGACACAGCCCTGCTAGAGGAAATGGGGAAGAGAAACTTCCCAGCTGCCTTGTTTGGCTCCAGCCAAGCAGCAGCCAGCCAAACCCAGCAACCCTCCCCACAGCCACCATGGGCCAGCACAGTCTCTGCCTGCACATGACAAGGAGAAGAGAGCATGAGTGACTGACAAGCTCAGGACACACAAACCCTGTGGGTGCCAGTCCTACAGAGCTCCTCTTAACAGGCCCCAGGCAGATCCTGGTTAGCCATTTCCCTCTGTCCCTACTGCAATAAATATACCACACCACCAGGAAGCTGCAGGCCAGCTCCTACGTTTTCCATGCCCCACTGCCACTGGTGATTTATTTGTGCTCTGCCTGTGGCCAGAGAGCTCTCCAGCCCCAGATGGGAGAGCTCCTCTCAGCAGCTACCTGATCCAGGCACTTTACTTTAAAAGTTCTTTTCTTCATGTTTGTTTTTTAAAGCTCTCTGCCAGGGTTAAGCCATAAAAAGCACATGATCCACTGGTGTGAGACAGATCTGACAAGCCCCTTTTGGATGCTGTAGTGTCCAACAGGATGGGCCAAGGACAGCACAGGGAAATTTTCTCCCTGCTCTGAGGCTTCTCACAGCTGCAAGGAAACCTCAGCCAAGGCACATCATGCCATGGCTCCATCAGAGACTCCTGTTTAAACTTGAAAATCTCTGCTGGGAGTAAAGTACCAGCTGTTTAGCACCAGGAACTGCTGACCTTCTCCTGGTTGCACCCAAGCTACCCCAAATGATGCTGGCTGGGGAAGGAGCTCCCCCAGCACAGCCAAGGCTGACGGTGCAGCCTGCTCTCCTTCCACTGGAGGCGGGGTGCACACATTCCCCAGACCCACTCCCTGCCCTGGGGTAGCTGTGAGACGGGGGCTGGTTGCATCTTCCTTCTCCGGGGCTGAGACCCATCACCACCACCACCACCTCTACAGCCCATGCTGTGGACCTGGAGGTTGCTCAGCAGCTGAATCAGCTCATGTGACAGGCAGTTCCAGTTCAGACCAGCTACAACTTAGCAGCAAAACAAGCACCAGGCTCCTCCGTGGCAGGATGCTGAGCCCTTCCTCCCTTCCATCCAGCTGCTCCTTCCCTGCCCCGGCCACGCTGGCTGACCATCCCCTCAAGGTGCCCCACGTTCCCCCCGAGCAGCCCTGCTCCCAAGTGCTGGGGACAGGGCAAGCAGGCACCACGCCA